GCTTGTTCACCAGTGCCTGCTACGAGCCGTCGCTATAAATGCATTACAAATTTCCTTAGCATGAGAAATAAAATTTGTAATGCAGTTTTACCTTAAGAGCAAGATTTGTAATGCAAGATTTGCATTTATACGAGTACGATACTTTTGCACAGGATATGCTATAGCAAATGACGACTCGTCCACCCCGCTTGTTCACCAGTGCCTGCTACGGGCCGTCGCTGCGGGTATGGAAGCGTCAGGTTTGAAATCGTCAAAGTTGAAATAATTTGTAATGCATAAAATGCATGACCCGAGGTGCGTGTGTTGCAGAGCAGGCAAGTGAGGCCGATTGTGAGCCTGTTTGGGGTTGCAGCTCGAGCTGCTAAAGTAGCATGAGAAAATCGCTCTTCTTTGCCTAAACAGCATGACAAACTGGATTTAGGGACCGCCGAAGTTTGTCATGCGCCACTTGGAGACTGGGTTCCAACTGGCATCCGTTTTATGCATGGCAAATTATTTCAACTTTGTCGATTTCAACTCTGACACATCCATAGCGGGACACGTGGGCGTCGCGTCCAGCCTGCTAGCGTCTGTTGTTGTCGATAAGAGGAACAAGACAACAAGAACTTCGCCGGGCTGGCGAGAAATAAGCGTCCTGCATTTATTCGACATCTTCCCCCAGCTCCTGGAACTAGCCTTGCGCGAAGACCTATCTAGGAAAAAACACCCATCCACCCCATTCAATTTGTCATGCAGAACATGCATAAAATCCAGTGTTTGTCATACATAAAATGGATGTGGATGGGTTTTTTTTGGGGATAAGACCTGGCCACGAGTCGGACGAACCGTGCGGAGATTGGGAGAAGGCTGCTTCTATGCTGTGCAAAAGTATCGTACTCGTATAAATGCATTACAAATTTCCTCAGCATTAGAAATAAAATTTGTAATGCGGATTTACCTTAAGAAACAGATTTGTAATGCATGATTGCAATACGAGTACGATACTTTTGCACAGGATAGCTTCGGGGGATGATGATTTCCGTGAAGATCCTTACTTCAAGTTCAACATCAACTAGTCTATCGCAAATACCAAAATCCAACTTCAACCTGACCCAAGCATTGCACCTCGCTGTGCAGGCGTTTCACGTCGAACTGGTGCGGGACTTGCTGGAACTTGTCATGCGAATGGAGGTATCAAATGTAAAAGTGTCTGGGTCTGGAAGAATGCAACTTGTCATGCTAAATCTGAAGCATGCAAAAATCTGTGTTGCGTGATCACCAAAAGCCGGCCAGTTTTGACCAAGTCGGGAGGGAGTTTCTCATGCAGGATAGGCATGAGAGGGATCGCGCAGATGAATCTGTCATGCTAGGTCCTGCATTCCAGACCTCATGGGTCATGGAAAAGCTGCGTGACAAGTCGCGCATTGTTCCAGACCCAGACGCTTTTGCATTTGATAGGAGGATAAAGATAAACATCTGCTTGAGCAGCTGCACGGGAGCGCCGTAGGTGATAAAAGCATCAAGCAGGAGAACTTCTACGTCAGAAGTTGTGCTGCAGAAAAAGCACTTATCACCGCCGACGAGAAGGGAAATACGGTGTGGCACGTGCTGGCCCAGTTTTTCGGCAGAAATAGTGCGAGGGATTTAAACAAGAATTGGCTCGTTGGCATGTTGTTGCTCAGGTCGTGTAGTAGTAATTCTACTTCTGATTTGGAACATCAAGGCAACATCGACGGGACCAAGGACCACCGAAGCAGAGGGGCTGACGCCGCAAAAACCAGCACAGGATCATCTGCGACATCAACATCTCCGAAGATATTAGCAGCCACTCCAATGAACAAAATGTTGCCATCTGTCAACCAACTAAATCACGACAAGTGGGCTGCGATACATCTGGCCGTCCGGCGAAATGAGCTAGACGCGCTGCGATTCATGCGGGCGTTTGCAGATAGCGAGAGCTCCTGCTCCGGAGCCCTGGGTCGTCGTGGAGCTGCCAAGGTCAACGGCGAGGAGGAATTTTTTTCTGCGGCAGGCGCGGGGGCAGTTCCTGAAGCTGCTGAAATATTAAAACCTGCTGTGATCTTCATGCAAGGGAACAACCGGGGTCATGGGTATGCTGTTGCTGAGCAAGTTCTGAGAGCCACTCTGGAGCAGATTCGCATTTTTGAGTTGGACACTATCAAATGCAAAAATGTCTGGGTCTGGAAGAGTGCATGTTTGTCATGCTTGTCTGGCATGACTCTCAAATCTGTCATGCACGTTACCCAAGAGCGCCACTTTTCTGCCATGCAGAAACGCAGTTTGTCATGCAGAATAAGCAACACCTAGAAGCTCAGAAACTTGCCATGCTGAGCGAGCACTTGTGGCTTTCTCATGATACGCCACCCAGCATCACAAGTTTCCAGACCCAGACAGTTTTACAGTTGATAGACACTTATTTTCAAGCAGTGGCACGACAGAGGGCAGCACATCATGGAGGTGCGTCAGCGCGAGCTAGCTCTTCCTTGGCGGTGGACACAAGCACAACTTGCGGGTCCGCCTTAATTGAAATAAATGGTCAACAAAATTATACTAGAAGCGCAGTAGAAAGTAGAACCAGCACGACCACGACCACAACAGCCACAGGACCGCCCACCTCCCCGTTGTCCAAGGCCATGATAACGCGAGAAAATTCTCCATCGAAAATCCGGGAAAAAACCAAGAGGTCCAGTAACAAGGGCCCGCCTTTGGAGTTGATCGCTGCGGAAATGGACGAGGTACCACTTCTAGGTGGCACGATTTCATCTAAAGCGGCCGGAAGAGGAGATCGAGGTGAAGAAAATGAAAACCAGAATTCTTCTTCTTATGCCATCAATCAAGAACAACAAGTTCTTGACTCGCAGTTTCTTATGCTCCCCGCGGATCCGCTCGCGCAGGTGAAGGAACGGGCTGCACACAGTTTGTCCTTATGACATTGCACAACTCCCCTTTCCCCTGATTTGTATAGCATGAACGGCAAGACAAGAATCAGCAAGAGGACCGGTTTTGCATGACAAATCTGCACACGAGTGTAGTGCTATTTGGGCTGCCAGAACTACTTGTCATGCAAACAGTGCCAAGAGGCAAAGGGTGAGTTGGGTATTTTGCATGGCAAATGAGGGGGATGGGGACGAGTTGTGCACTGTCATAGTCCTCTTCGAAAATGCATGCGGAATTTTCCGCACCAACCGACCTTCAGGGCGTCGCGCAACTACGACCAATTCTGACCAGCGCGGAAAGGGATCGAGGTGCCATTATCGACCCATGGCGCGTTGCGGAGCTGAAGGTGCTGCTGCGAATCGTTATCCAGATATAGAAAATTCAAATTGTGACTCAGCCTCAAAGAAGTTGAAGGCTTCTTTGGTCATTTTCATTCACGCAAAAGAAACTCTTAACGCTGGACCGCCCGGTGCTAAAATGAATTCAAAACAATTTCAAACTGAATTCAAAATGCCAGCGCTTTTGATTTCTTGAACCGCTCACATTCTTTGTGGCGTGGATCCTTCCTGGCGATGGTCTGGCCTCTGCGCCCACCTTCTAGCGTGGCTTGGGTATGGCAGCGTCGTGCGGCGCCTGTGTGGGAGGTGCAGGAGAACTCAACTAAAGTTCTACTGTGTTAGCCCGCTCAGATATGGCACAGACCCGAGGAAAATGGGGCGGGATTCGGATGGAGCGGGCGGCTTCAAAGGGTCAAAGGAGCCCGCTTCGCCCACCGTGCTAGGCGCATTGAAGACTCCCTGCCTAAGCCTGCTGCGACGCTCTTCCCCATGTGCCAGACGCTCTCATGGGGCGTGCCGGGGATGCGGCGAATCTGATTTCTCCTGGGGCGCGGGTTCAAAGGGGAAGGGAAATGCATGCGCGCAATCGTATTTCCGGCCATGTTGTGCCGTGTTCGATTTCTTGTGAGCCAGCGAAAAATGGCGTCCCACGATCGGACATTTTGCGACCCTCCTCTTCGTGGGTTGCAGAGGTCCGGCCCTTTTGAAATATGTGCCTGTCGAAGCACAGCTGTCTGTTGCTCGCAGGGCAGGGCAGCTGCGTCCAGCTTTTGCCACATGGGGCAATGCGACCGATACCCGCTGACCTGTCTTTGGTAAGGGATTGGCCCAGCCTTCAAATTCAAACCAAGTCCGCGAATTCAAACTGAATCCGCGAATTCAAACGGAATCCGCGAATTCGAACGAAGATCCGTGAGCCCTTCCCCAATTTCAAACCAGATCCGTTGCTTCGTGGAGCAGCCCCATCAATTTCGAACGGAATCCGATTTCGATCCGAATGCCATCCGATTTCCATCCGAATTCCGTTTCCCTAGTCAGAAAATGGCTTCGGATGAAAAACGGATGGAAATCGGATTCAGTTCGAAATTGGTTGGATCGGTTTCGGAGGGGAAGTCCGTGAGCCTCCGCATTACGAAAGAGATCCCGAAGAAGGGTTTGAATTTTTGGGCGCGCGCTGCCGCGCGCGCCATTATCTGAATGTCATTCAGGTCTCCTTTTCGCCATTCCGTGTTGTGTCGTCCTTGGTGTGGTGAGCTGTGTTTTGTCCGGCCACACTGCAGCCACTAGGCAGGCTTGCTGGGTTGAGGGGTTGCCACATGTGTTGCCGATCCTTTTCAGGCCGGCCGCCCTGCTATGTTGTATGTTGGAATGTTTGCCATGTGCGCGCCGGCGTTTCTGGCGTGCGCAGTTGGAGGCATTGCTCATGCAGAAGCGCCGGTGGGGGGAGCCGGCGGCCCCCCTGAAGCGCTTCTGCTCAGACTGCAAGGCCTTGGCCGTGAGGCATATGGGCACTAGAAGCGTGGAGCCAATGCCGCAAGGGCTTCGCTCATTCGCCGTCTTTGTCGTGGCCGGATGACTGAGTCGGAGCAGGTCCTTTGGGGTGCTGCGTTCTTTAGCATGCTACTCTTTCCTACCCCCTTCAGCCGCTTACGCCTCCAGCAAGCATTGCGAGGCTATGCTTGCTACTCTTCAATGATCTGTGCAAAATGTTGCGCGGCTGCCGGACCTCTTTGTCTGGGGCACTTTGGGTGGCCTCTCTGGCCACAATGAGGGGCGTAGGCTCGGGGTTGCTTGCGCAATGGCGTGCGGCCCCTGCGCTTCTAAATGTGGCAAGATAGGCCGCGCAGGATGCATTTCAGCATGCTCTCCGAATTCTGTTTTTTTCAAAGTTGCTACATTTTGAATTCAGTTTGAATTCAGTTCGAAATCGCATTACACGACGGCACGGCCAGGGTTAATTGTCATACAGAAACAGAAGACACAACACTCGTCCTCCTGAGGCATTTTTGAAGAAAGCACTTTTTGAAAAAGTGAAGCTCTTGCCTGCTGTTTCTCGTGCTCGAAGTGCGCTGCTTGTGAAATTGCAGGCGTCACTAAAACGTAGCTCCGCTGGTGTTTTGGTGCTGGCCCGTAGTGAATCGCGTGCGCAATACTGCGCGCCGTCCGCGGCTGTCTTGCGACGCAACATCACCTCGCCCCGCCTCGCCCTTGAGTCAGCCCCTGAAGGTCGTCCAGCTTGGTTTCAGACGATCCTGAAGCACTTACCGCGGGTTGCGGATATTCAATGCGGACGCCTGCAGGCGATTCGCCGGCACGTGCAGCCGCTTAGCAGATGTTGAGGGAAATCGGCAATCTTTGAGGGCAGGCACTTACGCTTGAAGGCGGTCAAGATATTTTGGTAGTGGTCAAGATATTTTGACGGCAATCAAGCAATTTGTGACGGCAATCAAGCAATTTTTGACGGCAATCAAGCAATTTTTGACGGCAATCAAGCAATTTGTGACGGCAATCAAGCAATTTTTGACGGCAATCAAGTAACTCTTGAAGAGAGTCAAAAAAAAGTCAAGTTTTGCTTCCCCCACTGCTACGGCCAATTTTGACTTGCATTTGACTGGTTTTTGACTTTCTTCAAAAATATCCTGACTTTTTTTTGACCTGTCGGGACTTCGCTTCGAGTTCCGGCGTTCGCAAGATTCACCTGCAGCCAATCGACGTTGCCTCGCTCGTCTCTTTTCGGCTTCTGGCGACCATCGCGCACAAAGGGTCGGGGGTGCGCGGCCCTTCGGGCCGCCAAGAGTGTTTCTGTAGCTGCATCCACAGGACTACCAGCCCCCTTCTTTTTGTGGGAGGTGTGGATGTGGCCATCGTTTACCAGTGGGGGCCGTCGTTTTTGTTAGCCGGCTGCCCATCCAAGGCTTATTTGCAGGCTGCATCCTGCTTGCCGTTGGCAGTGCCGTCTTTGGCGCCTGTCGCGCTCTTCTCGCGTGCCACCACCCTAACAAAGCGCGACGCGGGAAGCGAAGAAATATCACGCACGTCGGGAAGCTGCGCGCGCTTTGTGTGCCATCGCGCCCTCGTTTTGGTTGTCGAAAGGCAAGGGGAAAAAGCTCGGGGGGTTCCCACCTGTAGGAGGCCCATTTTCAAAATGGCTCTTCTTCACAAATTCGTCAAAAATGCTTCACAAATTGAATTACACGACGGGGGGCGGGCTGAGGTTAATTGTCATACAGAAACAGAAGACACAACACTCGTCCTCCTGAGGACTTTAGCACTTCCAAAGCTTGTCATGTTTGGCAGTCAACTGGAATTATTTCTCAACCTGCATCACAAGTTTCCAGACCGAGAGGACGACCCAGACATATTTTCTGCATTTGAAGATAACACGGCGGGCGGAGCAATAGCAAATGACATTCTTGCACCACTCTGCGAAAGGTGGATAGCTTCTGTTGTTCCTTGCGGTGCCGGCTGCGGGATGACGCGCGTGATGGTTCTTTCGTGCGTTTCTTATGCCGTCAAATTCTTATACCATCTCCATCATGATCCTCAAATCAGTGACATAGCGCTTGCTCCTGCAGCTTGTGCTGCTGCTCAACATAGTGAGAACGATAGGTACCAGACCACCTAAAGGCTTCTTCTTGCACACGACCCCACCTGCTCCAGCTTATGATCATCTATCATGATCGTGTATTAAATAAAACGGCGATCTACTATCTAACAAGACCGCTCGGGACGAGCCGCGCCAACTTAAAAATGCTCGTTGCATTCGCGACGATCATGCCGTAAGTTTTACTTTTTTGCTGGGGTCTGTGCCTGCGTCGTCGGTCCTCTCCTCGTGGCAGGAGGGCTACGCTGGAGATACTATGGTCAGGAAGATCATGTTGCGGAAACGAGGCGGACGAGAATCCGGGACCCGCAGAAGCTCCAGAACAAGATGGAGGACGCGATACACCAACAAGTGGGCATATCCCACAGAAAAGTACACCCCTAGTATAGTATCTATCAGAATATAGGGATGAACATGAATTTGAATGAAATGAGTGCTGTGTTTTTTCTTTTCAGTTTTATTAGTGGAGTATCACTCTTTGGTTGTTTAGCATGACAAACAAGATCCCCACGCTGGGGCCTTGTGCCCGTCCCTAGTGGCACTAGTGGGGAAGAAAGCAGCGCTGCGCTGCACGACCCTGTGCATTCTGGAGGAGCAGGCATCCGCGTTTTTACGAAAAAGTGCGTTAGTGTCGAGTTTTTGTTGTGGCAAGATAAATAAACAGCAGCTCACTTCTAATTCTCGCAGTCTTTGATGTCTCCTGCGCTAGTTACAACTACTAGTACAGGTGTGCTTTTCTGCAGGATAGGGCAAGTTTTCCGCACGACAAGAGGTGCAGCTGGTCCGCGTTTGTGGCCCTGAGTTTTCTGCTCGTTCTCTTCCT